TTGTTACTCAGGGACAGACACAGAATTGTTACTGAGGGACACAGAATTGTTACTGAGGGACACAGATTTGTTACTGAGGGACACAGAATTGTTACTGAGGGACACAGAATTGTTACTCAGGGACAGACACAGAATTGTTACTGAGGGACACAGAATTGTTACTCAGGGACAGACACAGATTTGTTACTCAGGGACAGACACAGAATTGTTACTCAGGGACAGACACAGAATTGTTACTGAGGGACACAGAATTGTTACTGAGGGACACAGAATTGTTACTGAGGGACACAGAATTGTTACTCAGGGACACAGAATTGTTACTCAGGGACAGACACAGAATTGTTACTGAGGGACACAGAATTGTTACTGAGGGACACAGAATTGTTACTCAGGGACATAGAATTGTTACTGAGGGACACAGAATTGTTACTGAGGGACACAGAATTGTTACTCAGGGACAGACACAGAATTGTTACTGAGGGACACAGAATTGTTACTGAGGGACACAGAATTGTTACTCAGGGACAGACACAGAATTGTTACTCAGGGACAGACACAGAATTGTTACTGAGGGACACAGAATTGTTACTGAGGGACACAGAATTGTTACTGAGGGACACAGAATTGTTACTGAGGGACAGACACAGAATTGTTACTGAGGGACAGACACAGAATTGTTACTGAGGGACACAGAATTGTTACTGAGGGACACAGAATTGTTACTGAGGGACACAGAATTGTTACTCAGGGACACATAATTGTTACTCAGGGACAGACACAGAATTGTTACTGAGGGACACAGAATTGTTACTGAGGGACACAGAATTGTTACTGAGGGACACAGAATTGTTACTCAGGGACACAGAATTGTTACTCAGGGACAGACACAGAATTGTTACTGAGGGACACAGAATTGTTACTGAGGGACACAGAATTGTTACTCAGGGACAGACACAGAATTGTTACTCAGGGACAGACACAGAATTGTTACTCAGGGACAGACACCAAATTGTTACTGAGGGACACAGAATTGTTACTCAGGGACACAGAATTGTTACTCAGGGACAGACACAGAATTGCTACTGAGGGACACAGAATTGTTACTGAGGGACACAGAATTGTTACTGAGGGACACACAATTGTTACTCAGGGACAGACACAGAATTGTTACTGAGGGACACAGAATTGTTACTCAGGGACACAGAATTGTTACTCAGGGACAGACACAGAATTGTTACTGAGGGACACAGAATTGTTACTGAGGGACACAGAATTGTTACTCAGGGACAGACATAGAATTGTTACTGAGGGACACAGAATTGTTACTGAGGGACACAGAATTGTTACTGAGGGACACAGAATTGTTACTCAGGGACACACAATTGTTACTCAGGGACAGACACAGAATTGTTACTGAGGGACACAGAATTGTTACTGAGGGACACAGAATTGTTACTCAGGGACAGACACAGAATTGTTACTGAGGGACACAGAATTGTTACTCAGGGACACAGAATCGTTTAATTAAAGAGTATGTCAGACAACACGCAGAGGAGTGGCAGAGGAGGCAATGTTTTAGGAGCGAGCAGACGTGGCAGCAGAGGAAGGGGTGGAGGCAGCACTAGTCGCAGCCAGAGGCCAGTGCTCCCGGTGTCATCCAGCGGTCGTGTCTCCACCGACAACCCTGCCGTCATCGATTGGTTGGCTCGGTCATCTTCCTCTTCCCAGGTCACCTCTGACACCTACAGCCAACGGTCGGTGGGTACGTCAGACACAACCGTTAGTTGGCATGGCCCGGGAGCAAGCCCACTGAAATCACGTGTCCTCTACCTGCCCCTGTCCTTTGGTGTTCCCTCACCAAGCGAAGTATCGCATGCTGTGGGCTCAGCCCCACTGTACAGTGAGGAAGAGCTAACAGAGGGCGGTCAGGAACGGGGGGAGACATCCGCCTCTTCAGCAGCCAGGCAAAGAAGTAGTGGCGAGGAGAGTGGCTCGGTAGCCGGTCTAGAGACAGGTCTGTCTCCTGACCCACACGCAGCCGAGGGGGCTAGTAGTGAGGCGGAGACCCTAATTGATGATGATGAGGCTGATCGCACTTGGCAGCCTCGTCGTCATCAGGCTATTGCTTCCGCATCATCAGGAGAAGAGGGTGGCAGCTTGGCAGCGAGCAAAACAGTCGGGAGGCCCAGCAGGGTCGCAGCAGTGTCAGTGGAGGCAAACGGCCACGGAGTAGAGCACCAGCTCCACTGCAGCCTACCACCATGGCCAGTAGTGGTGCCGGTGTGCACGGAGGAAGTAGCAGTCAGCCAGTGAGGAGTAGCGGGGGCAAAGTTTCCTACTCGGCGGTGTGGCAATTTTTCGTCAAGCCGCCCGAGGAAGTAAACGTAGCCGTATGTCGACTATGTGGCCAGAAAGTCAAGCGTGGCCAGGGGGCCCATGTTGGGACTACAGCGTTGCGTCAGCATATGCAGCGTCGCCATTTGGTGGCCTGGGAAAACCGTGATAAAGATACGGCGGTTCTGCCTGCCCCAGCCCCCGCTCCATCACCCGCTCCGTTACTTGCTCCATCACCCGACGTCAATCGCCCTCTATCAGCCAGTCAAGGCTCCAACACCTCTGCTGAGGGGAGTTGTCGCTCGTTGGCATCTTCCGCTCGTTCAGATGCTCCTTCTCCTGCTATTCCTCTTCACGGATTCCGTCAGCAGTCTTTCTTGGAATCCGTTTCCAAGAGACAACAGTTTGCGAGCACGCACCCGACGGTGCAAAAGCTGAACGTCCTCCTGTCCAAGTTGCTGGTGCTGCAGTTCCTCCATTTCCAAGTGGTGGACTCAGCACCTTTCCGAGAAATGATGGCTTGTGCCGCGCCGCGGTGGAGAGTGCCAAGCCGGCATTTCTTCGCCAAAAAGGCAGTGCCAGCCCTGCATTCACATGTAGAAGAGATGGTGGGCCAGTCTTTGAGCATGTCGGTCTCTGCCAAAGTGCACGGCAGCGCGACGTGTGGAGCTGTAACTACGGTCAGGGACAGTACATGTCATTTACGGCCCACTGGGTGAACGTGGTGCCGGCACAGCCGCACCAGCAACTTGGACAGGTCACGCCGCTTTTGCCTCCACGTTTGCACGTCCTTGGTCCACAAAAGATGTCCGCCTCTACCACCTCTTCTTCCGCCGTGTCCTCCTCAGCCGCCACCCCCGTGCCAAGTCCCATTACCCGACCGGAATATCACATGTGCAGGGCGCAACGGTGTCACGCTGTGCTGCACCTGGTATGCCTTGGCGAACGTAGTCACACAGGGGAGGAACTTCTGAGTGTAATGAACAGAGAAATCGACAGAATGGCTGTCTCCGCGCAAACTGAAAATCGGAACCATGTTGACCGACAACGGAAAGAACATGGTGTCTGCTCTGCGTCAAGGAAGGTTGTGCCATGCGCCATGCATGGCTCACGTGTTCAGTCTGGTTGTCAAGCGGTTCCTAAAATCCACCATCCCACTGCAAGATATCCTTAAAATGTCACGTAAACTTTGCATGCATTTCAGCCATTCCTACACCGAAAAGCACACCCTCCGTGGGCTGCAGCGGCAGAACGGAATTCCACAGCATCGCCTTATCTGCGACGTTGCAATAAGGTGGAATTCAACCCTTCACATGTTAGACCGCCTTTACGAACAGCGAAAGGCCATCACCGATTTCCTGATGTTACAAGCGGATAAAGGTACTCCCCTGTGTAACTTCGATGTCAGCCATTGGCAGCTCATGCGTGACACCTGCCGCTTGCTGAGGCCCTTTGAGGAGGCCACGCTATTCGTGAGTCGGCAGGACTATGGGATGAAACGACGTCATTCCCTGTTGCATGTCCTGGAACAAATGCTGTTAACAATGGCTGGTCAGGGTGCGGTAGACGTGGCGCACAGATCTCAACGCCACATGACCCCTGTGGGGGCAGGACAGGAAGAAGAGGAAGAGGTAGAGGAGGACATTTATGCTCAGGAATTATTGAGTGAAATGGGTGGTTTTTCCACTCAGCGGACAGGAGTGGAGGAGCAGGAGCATCTGGTAGAGGAGGAGGAGACAGAGGACCCAGACGCACCGTGGCAGTATGCTGTGGAGATGGAGGCAGGGAGTCCCTCGCATTCCTTGGCACAAATGGCCCATAGCATGCTCGGTTGCTTGCGTAGCGACAGCCGAATAATAACCATCAGACAGAGGGATGACTTTTGGCTGTCCACCTTGTTGGACCCTCGCTACCGTTCAAAAATGGTGGCCTTTTTCACACCTGCTGAGAGGGAGGCCAAAATAAACGTACTATAAAAACCACCTATGTAGTCAGTTGGTCTCTGCCTTTCTGCGCCAACGTCCATCCTCAGACACTGTGGGCCCTGTGCGCTCGCATTCCGCTGCCATGGCAGCAGGGGAGGGGTGGGGTGGTAGGAGCAGTGGCAGCTCCACCAGCAGCGGCTGTCTCAGTCTGCAGTCGATGATGATGAGTAGCTTTCTTCACCAGCGCAGTGAGGAAACTACTAACCAGCCGCAGCAGCAGCAGCATCAGGTGGACCTGGAGCAGGACCTCAAACAACAGGCTTGGGCCTCCTTGGACAGCACCCTGCCAACCGAGGTAGACAATCCCCTTGACTACTGGGCAACGAAACTTGACCTTTGGCCCCAACTAGCTGAATTTGCCCTTGAAAGGCTGTCATGCCCGGCCAGTAGCGTGGCATCGGAGCGCGTGTTTAGTGCGGCAGGAGGTATTGTAACTCCGCGGAGGACACGACTGTCCACCCAAAGTGTGGAGAGACTCACGTTTGTGAAAATGAATCAGGCGTGGATTAGTCTGGATTTCAAACCACCAGTTCCTGACACAACTGACTAAATCCGCCATGAATCATGCCCCAAACATGTGCCACTTTCAGGTCTCCTCACACTGCTGGTGCTGTCCATTTTGTCATAGGGTGCTGGCAGATTACGGGCCTCCCATTGCTGCTGCCAGGCCCGTAATCTGCCATGGGCCCCTGTACCGCCTCCTCATGCTGCTGCCAGGTCCAGAGTGTCTCATGGGTCCCTGTACGGCCTCCCATTGCTGCTGTCTCCATCGCCACACTCTGCCATGTGCCACTTTCAGGTCTCCTCACACTGCTGGTGTGTTCCATTTTGTCATAGGGTGCTGGCAGATTACGGGCCTCCTATTGCTGCTGCCAGGCCCGTAATCTGCCATGGGCCCCCGTACCACCTCCTCATGCTGCTGCCAGGTCCAGAGTCTCTCATGGGTCCCTGTACGGCCTCCCATTGCTGCTGTCTCCATCGCCACACTCTGCCATGTGCCACTTTCAGGTCTCCTCACACTGCTGGTGTGTTCCATTTTGTCATAGGGTGCTGGCAGATTACGGGCCTCCCATTGCTGCTGCCAGGCCCGTAATCTGCCATGGGCCCCCGTACCGCCTCCTCATGCTGCTGCCAGGTCCAGAGTCTCTCATGGGTCCCTGTACGGCCTCCCATTGCTGCTGTCTCCATCGCCACACTCTGCCATGTGCCACTTTCAGGTCTCCTCACACTGCTGGTGTGTTCCATTTTGTCATAGGGTGCTGGCAGATTACGGGCCTCCCATTGCTGCTGCCAGGCCTGTAATCTGCCATGGGCCCCTGTACCGCCTCCTCATGCTGCTGCCAGGTCCAGAGTGTCTCATGGGTCCCTGTACGGCCTCCCATTGCTGCTGTCTCCATCGCCACACTCTGCCATGTGCCACTTTCAGGTCTCCTCACACTGCTGGTGGGTTCCATTTTTGTCATAGGGTGCTGTATGGCCTCCCATTGCTGCTGCCTCCACCGCCACACTGTGGCTCCACACTCTGGTTTTGGCCCCGTGACTGCCCAAATGAGTGAAGTGTGCGGTGATTCTAAGATCGACGGCACTCATCTGCATGTCATACTGACTGACAGTATTATTTCTCTTCCCCAGCAGACTCCAAGGGCATTTAAATTAAAGGTACAGTGTTCTGCACTAATATAAAGGCTCTCTGAAGCCTAGAAACACCCTTTTATAAGTTAAATTCGCAGCGAATATATTCGCATCGAATCGAATTTATTCCTCGAATTCGCCGAATCAGCCGAATCGAATTTTTGAATACTTCGCTCATCTCTAATTATAATGTTAATAACATCCATTGCTCAAGCCCCAAGGAAGTGTGTGGTGGGGAGGAGGATTACAAATACGGATTTGACTAACTTTATCATCAGCTATGGTAGCAAGGTGATTGAGGATTTTATGCTGTTGTGCACTTAAACTATAATTAACAAGTATGTGCTGATGTTCTACAAACAGAGAGCAGCTTTACCTGTGTCAGAGGTAAGTTCAAGAAGAAAATATCCTAGCAAAATTATACCAAAATAATTGTAGCACTATCCCCACAGGGGCCCCTTGATAATGCTTGTCCCTATTGGTTGCCCTGACCTTGCAAGTCACCCCGACACCTCTGACACTCTGGATTCAGACATTTTTCAACAGTATAGGATAATAATGCAAGATACACAATTCTTAGTAACATCTCTATATTAGTCTTGTTCAAAAGAGTAGAGCACAAGAATAATGGATTTAGAATATGCAACCCCAGTTAGCACATAAAAATAGAACATTGGTAAAATAGGAATAAGCAGTTAGCAATGTTTAACAAATTAAACAGTCATGAGCAGTAATCTTCAACTATTAAACTGTAACATCAGCAGTAGGAGGGGGAAGAAAAGGCTTGTTGACTTATCAGCTCCCTTTAGGCTTCTGGCGCTGAAATGGTGGATGCAGAGAATTATGTAAATGTATATTCCAACATAAATAGATATAAGTTTCCTAATTTGAATAATAATCACATTATAAGAGAAGAGGTCCCTTTAACTAAAGAATGCAACTTGAGTCCTGTGATGTTTAAAATTCCTGATATAGTGGTGGTGTCTGTTGTCTTCTGCTAGCAATGGTGGGGCTCATAAACAATAGTGAATACTGGTAATTCAATTAAGTTAAATATATAGGTTGTGGTAAATGTTCAAAGCAAGTACTGAGGTGTAAAGGCATGCAGTGTCTCTAGAGTGATGACAGAAAGAGGTTGGGCATCCACCCGCTCATGAATCCCATGGAAAGCATGGACTCCTAGGAACAAGAGATCTTGGCTGTTTTCAGGGTTGTGCAGAGATGTCTGTGTGAAGCCTGGATAGTGACAGTTCTGATGCAGAGAAGCTGCCCTTGGAGGAGAACAGCAGTCCCCCCTCTGTTCAGTTCTGAATTCCATACCAAGAGAGCTAGTCAGTTTTTTTGCTGTAGTATATACTGTATCTGCTCTCCCAGCATCATTCTCGCACTCCAGGCTCACTGGCAGTTGTAGTTCAATCAGCACTCAGGAATACAGTATGTATTGACTATAGGACTACAGCTTCCGAGATCCTCTGTCGTCAGAAGAACTGGATCTACTCTGCTAACAGGAAGTCATGTAGCAGTCCCAGTATTGGGCACTATTGTATGGGGAAAAGGATTAATCATAGTTTTATCTGTAAATGTCCCTGACAGGCATAATCATATAGCTGCCACATGGCTACATCATATATACTTACCTCAAAATATTAAATACTAAAGCACTAAACCCCAATGATAAAACACTAAACCTCGAGTCTTTTTTTGGAGCGTAAAGGAGATGCAAGGTATTGGGGAGGCAGCAGCTAAACAACAAATTAAGTTGTTGTAGACAACACAAAACGGTCCTAGAAAGGAACTAGATAGTAGATGCAGAAGCAAATATCTATCCTTGCGAAGACTGTGATTCTCCCTATCTGCTCCAAGTGTACAACATGCACTGACTGATTGTTTATGTGACTGACTGTAAATATTGCAGTTTTAATCAACAGTACTGGTAAAATAGCAGCAACTATTCATCCCTGCAATTTATTTTTGATGTTTCCCTCTCTGTTCCAAGACTGTCACTCACTGCAAATAGAAATTTTCTGTAGCAAGAACTACTTCTCCCTGCAAAAAAAGCCCAAAAAAAAAAAAAAAAAAAAAAAAAAAAACCCAATGATCTATTCATATTTACTACATACCTCAATCAGCAAAAAATTAACAAAGGCTGCTTGGAACCAGAACTTGTATAGGGAGGGGACTGCAACAGTACTATTCCCTAATTATTAACTCTTCTAAATCATCTGACCACAGTTCAGAAGCCAGAAACTACATTGTTAGTAATTGGTAGCTATGGGTGAAAATGTCCTCATTTGCTTGCTATTTAATTGAAGAGAAAATGATCTGGGTTCAGGTCAAACTTATGGTCAACCCAAACCTGAAGCTCCTATCTAGTGACCACTTTCCCTTTCTATCAAATTCATGCCTTCCAGTATTAAACATTTATCAACTTTTTAGACATGACAGTCTTTATAGTCTTTATAGTGGATGATTCCATAAAAAGATGTTTTGTAAACAAGTGTATACCAACCAGCTTCACTTTACCTGACAGTTGCCATATGATATGAAAATAATATCCCAAAAAGCTAGTTCAGGTGACTAAGAAGGAACTGTAGTTAGTTGGAAGACTAAAGACAAGGGTCAGATAATCTGACAGAGCAATTTGTGAAGAGAGGGAATCCCAAAACCCTGCTGGAACAGAAGGCTACAGAATTCTTACAACTTGACATAAAATATCTTTTGAAGCCAAATGGTCATGTTCAAAAGCAATCCAATACCATATATGATGATAAGGATTATGTTATTCCCCTCAATTATAGCTCTCAAACTCACAGGACACAATAGATAGTTAAGAATTTGTAAAAGAGGAAAACATATAACCTATTTTACTGGAAAAAACATGTATTATTTTTAAATGTGCACCTAATCCACCCTAAAGATTGCCTTCATAGATAATCCATAGTCCAAAATAACTATAATAATGAGGGTGTTTCATTAAATGCTTGAAATGCATCGCCTGCAAATGCAATAGAATTAGAAACATGACTTCATCTCAACTCAAATCATCTCAATTTTATGCAAATGAAACTTTGAGATTAAGGTTTCATTCACATGTAACTGCAAAGATGTAAATATTGTATACCATGTCCCTGTGAAAAAAGTATATATGGATACCCAAATGTGAACATGGAGTCAGGAGGGAATGAAAGTAAGAAAAACCATCCCTTTTATGTCCATTATAGACGTTTTGCTGATGGTATCATGAAAGGAAGAAAACACATTCCCTTCACATCCATTATACTAGGATTATGTCCTGCTTGGAACCCATATGTATCTATACTTTAAACATCCAACATTAGATCAGGCATTTATGTATAAACAAGTGCTGTTTTTATCACATGATTTTTTTTACTCTTGTAACCATTTCTAATGTATAGTTTAAATTAGTATATTTTTATATACTGTCTATATACAGTGTGTGAGGCCCTGCCACTGTGGAAATGGTCAGAAAAAGGAAGGAAGGAAACACAAGATTTGCACGTTTGCTGAATGCAGGACTTCAGAATGTTGATTATGAGATTATGGTATTTCTTTATGGGGCTCCATAGTTTGGAGATTTCAAAGTGCCTTGAGAGGGAAGAAATCTCCAACCCTGTTTGTGTTCAGGTGCACACAGCCTTTATAATTAGAGATGAGCGAATCGAACCAGGCGAACCGGAATTCGATACGAATTTCAGGAAAAATTCGATTCGCGTCGAATCCGAATATTTGCCTACTTCGGGTGCGCGAATCGGATTTTTCCCGATCAGCCGGCAAAAGTGTCCCTGCGGAGAGCTCCGCTATTTCTGACAGTTCTCTGACAGAAGGAACACATGTACAGCGGTTGAAACATTGTATCTATTTTGTTTCCATTTAGGATACAGATGTTTTTATTCGGAAACAGATGTTTCAACCGCTGTACATGTGAAGGAGCTGTCAGAGAACTGTCAGAAATAGAGGAACTCTGCAGATACACTTTTTGCCGGTTTGGAATTCTTATTTTCATCCTACTTCTTCTTCTTCTTCTTCATCCAACATCCTCATCCTCATCCTCAGAAGAAGAAGAAGAGGATGAGGATGAAGAAGAAAGTAGGATGAAAATAAGAATAATTCCAAGCCGGCAAAAAGTGTATCTGCAGAGCTCCTCTAAGTGTATCTGCAGAATAGAGGAGCTCTGCAGATCTGCACTTTTTGCAGGCTTGGAATTATTCTTATTTTCATCCTACTTCTTCTTCTTTCTTCACTCCTCATCCTCATCCTCTCTCTCTTCTTCTGAGGATGAGGATGAAGAATAAGAAGAAGAAGAAGAAGAAGTAGGATGAAAATAAGAATAATTCCAAGCCGGCAAAAAGTGTCTCTGCAGAGCTCCTCTATTCTGCAGATACACTTAGAGGAGCTCTGCAGATACACTTTTTGCCGCCTTGGAATTAATCTTATTTTCATCCTACTTCTTTCTTCTTCTTCTTCTTCTTCTTCATCCTCATCCTCATCCTCAGAAGAAGAAGAAGAAGAGGATGAGGATGGAATTATTCTTATTTTCATCCTACTTCTTCTTCTTCATTGAAAATAAGAATAATTCCAAGCCGGCAAAAAGATGTATCTGCAGAGCTCCAGAAGAGGATGAGGATGAGGATTCTTGAAGAAGAAGAAGTAGATGAAAATAAGAATAATTCCAAGCCGGCAAAAAGTGTATCTGCAGAGCTCCTCTATGTATCTGCAGAACACTTAGAGGAGCTCTGCAGATACACTTTTTTGCCGGCTTGGAATTATTCTTATTTTTCCTTCATCCTACTTCTTCTTCTTCTTCTTCTCTTCATCCTCATCCTCTTCTCTCTTCTTCTGAGGATGAGGATGAAGAAGAAAAGAAGAAGAAGTAGGAGGAGAAAATAAGAATAATTCCCAAGCCGGCAAAAAGTGTATCTGCAGAGCTCCTCTAAGTGTATCTGCAGAATAGAGGAGCTCTGCAGATACACTTTTTGCCGGCTTGGAATTATTCTTATTTTCATCCTACTTTCTTCTTCTTCTTCTTCCTT